GTGTCAGCCCCTCACACAAGCCCCTCCCCATGCCTTTAGGGGCGTCAGCACCTCACACAGGCCCCCTCCCCAGGCCTTTAGGGGTGTTAGCCCCTCACACAGGCCCCTCCCCAGGCCTTTAGGGGCGTCAGCACCTCACACAGGCCCCTCCCCAGGCCTGTAGGGGCGTCAGCCCCTCACACAGGCCCCTCCCCAGGCCTGTAGGGGTGTCAGCCCCTCACACAAGCCCATCGCCAGGCCTCTCGGAGTGTCAGCCCCTCACACAAGCCCCTCCCCATGCCTTTAGGGGCGTCAGCACCTCACACAGGCCCCCTCCCCAGGCCTTTAGGGGTGTTAGCCCCTCACACAGGCCCCCTCCCCGGGCCTCTCAGGGTGTCAGCTCCTCACACAAACCCCTCCCCAGGTCTCTCAGGGTGTCAGCCCCTCACACTAACCCCCTCCCCGGGCTCTCACAGGAGCCCTTGACTAGCTCACGGCTTCACGCCCATCCCTGGAACTGTGCCTGAGATCCTTGTTTAGTGAGAAGTTAGTTCATGGAGGCAGGAGGGTGACCCCAGACCAGGTCTGTAGCAGGCAGAGAAGTGAGGCATCCCAGAAAGAAGCGTGGAAGGGAAAGACCTGAAGGCGCTCGCCGACGTTCCTGAGGCCCAGCCCGTCCAGTGGGCAGAGGAACGGAGAGGCCGCCACTCACGGAGCGGGAACAGAGGAGCTCTGACCGGACAGAGGCGGTCCCGTGAAGGGTCAGGACCTCCAGGCCCCTCGAGGGGCAGAAGCCACCCAGGTGCCCACCTGCAGGAGTGAGCGGGGCCTCGGTCTCCCCGAGGCAGGCAGGCGGGACAGTCAGGCCCTCGGCGTCTGAGTGGGGTTCGGGCTCTGCTTCCAGCCAGGATGGGACGGTGGGACGTGTGCCCTCTCTCACCTCAGAGGACCAGAGAGCGGACGCCGTCTGCACCAGGGGGACGGGGGCGGCCCCCACAGGAGGAAGCAGACGAGGTCACTCTTGTCCTGGACATGCGTTGGTGACGCACGCGAGCTCCCCCAGCAGAGCCCAAGGCGAGTGAGAAGAGATGCGGAGCCGGGCGTCTCCTGCGGAGCAGGGCACTTGGTGGCGCTCCCTGCGCCTGCGCGAGTGGACAGGGTGGAGCCCCTCGGGGCCAGGTGGGCAAGAGGGCTGAGCGCAAAGGGGCCGCAGAGCGGGGGCTCACTCGAGCCTCCCCCAGCCCAGTGGAGAGCACGCTCTCACTCAGACACTCGGCGGACTCGGGGCCACGCCAGGCAATGGGGCCAGACTGCCCCCAGCCGAGGCCACCGGCGCCTCCCGGACAGAGCTGAAGAGCAGCTTCTTCGGACAAGAGACCACAGCCTCTGGCGGCACAGAGGAGCGCAGAACCCGGGCACCGACAGCGTGAGGTTCACAGCATCCGGCCAGGAGTTCAAACAGGAGCAAGGCCTGCCCCGCGGCAGAGCCGGGTGACAGGTGATGGACAAGGGCGGTCCAAGAGCGGGCGTGCCCACGATCCAGACCCACAGGGAGCCAGGAGCCAGGGCAGTTGATGGAGCAAAGCCTGAGATGGGGTTTCCCTGCCCGAGGAGCACGCTGGAGGCAGCACACGGGCCAGGACTGGGAGCCCCTGCAGTGCTGGGCCCTCAGGCCCCCCGCGAGCACAGACCGAGTCCCGCTTCCTGCCTGACAGGGCTGCATAGACCTCTCTCGAGCTCCTGGGGACGGAAGGCAGGGGCTTCACTCAGGGAACTCGGCACTGTGGACAAAGGACGTCACCTGCCGTATCGTAAACAGAGGGCCTTGCACCTCCAAGCCAGCAGCCACTGCAGCCGCCCCCAGCAGCGCCCCCACCCCAAGGGTCTCAGGGCGGACAGTCCAAGACTCTGGCCTCAGGGAGCCGAGGTGCCCATCAGAGGGATGATCTCAGTGAGCCCAGACTGCCGCCCGTATCTTCCCATGTGTGGAAAAACACTAAACTCCTTAACCCAAGGTGTCTGGGTTTAATTAACAGTGACCTTTTGATGTTCCGACCACTGGTCTTTGTTGCAGGAACTCCTTTGTACCCCGGCGCCTCTCACCTGTTCAGAGCCATCTGAGAGGCTGCCTCCTGGGTCAGGTCCTCAGAAAGGCCCACGTAAACACGACCCTCAGCCCTTACGCTGTGCCGTGTTTCCAGCCAACACTGGAAGCGTGTCTGTCCTTCCCGTGGGTGCACACACACTTCCTCTTGCCCCCAGGTGTTTGCTGCCCACTGACCAGGGTGTCCATCTCTGTTCACTAGATGGAAGCCCGGGAAGCGCTTTGTAGGGACTTGTGGCTCTTGGCCTGAGCTATTGAGACATCCACCCTCTCAGACCTCAGGGCGGCTGTGAGAGACAGGCCCTGGGCCTCAGGTGCCCTCCTGACCCCCACTTCTCTCCTCAGCATCCTCGAGTGCCAGGGCCTCCCCATCGTGAACGGGCAGTGTGACCCCTACGCCACAGTGACCCTGGCAGGACCGTGCAGGCAAGTACCGCCTTGGCTGCAGAGTGGGCGAGGTCGCTGAGGCGGGGCTTTCCTCAGAAAGCAGGTGGGCCAGGCAGGCTGTGTAGGTCTCACTTCCTTCAGTTTCCTTCATGGCCTGAAGTTTTTAAGAAGAAAGCCTTCCTGTTCTTCACGTGGGTGTCTCTGGCTCAGTAAAGGGTCCTGATTTGCATACCATCAGGTGCTGGAGACACAACCGCATGTGGTCTGTGCCCTGGAGGGCCCAGCCTTGGTGGAATCAGCGTCAACAGTGTTTTCCATCCGATCCTTCTCCTCAAACGCAGGTCAGAAGCGAAGAAGACGAAGGTGAAGAAGAAGACCAACAACCCGCAGTTTGACGAAGTGTTTTACTTTGAGGTCAGTGTTTCAGTGGCACAAACACGATCGATACCCACACCCCAGGGTCTTTGGCAAAAGGGCCCTCGGTCACTGCTGCAGAGAGTTCTGGGGTGCTGTCCCTCACCTGGAGTCTCTCCCACCCTGCAGTGTGAACTCCCAGGAGCTCCTTCCTTCCCTGGGCAGAAAGGCTGTTTGCTGCTTCCAGCTTGACCTGGTTTTGTGTTGAATGCTGACAAATCAATACTTTTCAAATTACCAAGACTTTGGGGTTTTTTGGCTGGCTTTGTTTGGGTTTTTTTGCTCCACCCAGTCTCCCTTGAGCAGCAGAGGGAAGCTTGTTTCAACACAAGTAGTGAGGGTTTTGGGGGTGGAAGTAGTGCATTCAAACGAGAGCCCCCAACTGCCCCTTAGAACCAGAGCCACCAGTTGGCTGGTGGGTGAGGACCAGGCTGCCACAGAACTGCCAACCATTGGCTCATAGGTGCCAGCCCCAGTAACGCTCAAGGGGCCATTGTCCCCCCACAAAGGTCACCGTAGGTGAGTGTGAGGGTCTCACTGCCATCTCCGTGGTTCGCTGCCCAGCGCGGGGAGGATGGAGCAGCTGTGCCCTCATGTGGCGATATGGCATCGGGGCTCCTGGAGCAGAGTGGATGCACCACCGTCCAAGGGGCAGTGGGCAGGGCTTCCGGAGTGGGGCTTGGAAAGTGCATGGAGCACTGGAGCTGTAGGAAACTGGAGACGCTAGGGTGGAAAGGTGGAAGGGGACTTTGCAAATGAACTTGGAGGGGTGGGTCAGGATGTGCAGGGGTCACTGGCCTCTTCCGCCTGGGCCCTCAAGAGGATGGGCAATGTTGGCCTCATAGGGCGCCTGTGGGGGGCTAGGGGCACAGCCTGAAAGCCTGGATGAAGAACCAGTGCCATCCTGGGATGCGCCTGTTGTAGCCAGGAGAAGGTGGCCAGCCCTCCCTCGTGGGGTGCGTGTGCAGGGGTGAGCAGGCGCCAGGGGCAGGGAGGCCTGACGTGCTCTCGTGCCCACAGGTGACCAGGCCCTGCAGCTACAGCCGCAAGTCCCACTTTGACTTTGAGGATGAGGACGTGGACAAGCTGGAGATCCGGTGAGTGGGGGTTCGGGGCTGAGTTTCCCAGGCGGTGTGCCTGGGCTGCTATCTCCTGCTGGATCCCTGTTCTGTCTATAGAAACTGGGCAACATCTGTGATAGCTTATGGTGAACCATGTTGGATCTCAGCCTCCAAAGATTTAGCTTTGGGACCAGGGGCCAGGCTTGATCACTCTGCCACTTGTGTGGCAGAAGTTTTATTACAGTGAAAAAGGAGAGAGAAAGCTTCTGACACAGACATCAGAAGGGGAATAGGGAGTGCCCCCCTCACTAGTCTGATCAAGGCTTTATGTACTTTTGCCAGACCCACTTCCACAACATACTCTTAAGATAGCAAGGTTAGTCAGAAGGTTCCTGTTAAGAGGAAAAAACATGGCCTTGAGCAAGATACTGTTATACAATCGTTAGTTCAGAGCTTTAGGGAAAACATACCCGGAGCAAGGTGAATTGTTTTGTTGTATTGTTGTGTAATCATTAGCTCTAGGCTTAAAGAAAGTTAGTCTTAAAGACTGTTGTTATAACAACTCAGAGTTTAAGATAAAATGTCTTATGTGACTAAGATAAAGCAATGTAGAAAAAAATGTTTGTCCCTTTCTCCTCCTAGAAGGCCCTGGACTCCTTATCAACCTACCTAAGATTTAACTCTCTCATCCATAGACAGGAACATCAGTTTTCTGGATCATTTTAACAGGAGGGTGCCGGGTGGTGGCTAGAGGCCACATGGTCTGTGTTCACCTTGCGGTGTCTTCCCAGGCGCAGAGCAGAGGTTCCGAGCCCCTCTGTGTGAGGCCTGGCCCGGCACACGGTCCCGCTGCCTGGGGCCCCGCNGAAAAGAGACATAAAAATATACTAAACACATATAAATTCTGCAGTGACATATTTAACAATAAATACATTTGAAAGGTAAATCTATTTTAAAAATTCATTTTTAAATATAAATGACAGCAAAAGAGCTTGGCCTTTAGCATTTTTAATTTCTCTCTTTTCTTCTCTTCTGTTTGATTCTCAGTACTGAGTCCTACTGTCTTCAGGCATAAAGATAATCTGGAGTGAGGCATTCCCTGGTGGTATAATGGTTAGGATTCTGGGCTTTCACTGCTGTGGCCTGAGATCAATTACTGGCTGGGGGAATTAATATCCTGCAAGCTGCATGATATGCCATGCCCCCTCCCAAAAGACACTCTGGTGTGACATAACTGTATCCTTATTCTAGCACCTTATTTCTATTTTAGGAAATTGGTCAATACTCATTTTTAATTGTATGATTACATTTGTAGGACTAATGAAGCAACTTGAATATCTATTGACAGATGAATGGATAAAGATGTGGTACATATACACAATGGAATATTACTCAGCCACTGAAAATAATGAAATAATGCCACTTGCAACAACATGGGTTGACCTAGAGATTATCACACAAATGAAATAAGAGATAGAGACATACAAATATCATATCTCTTACATATGAAATCTAAAAAAAAAAATTGATACAAATGAACTTATTTACAAAATAGAAACAGACTCAGACTTAGAAAATTATGGTTATTGAGGGGAAGGGATAGATTAGGAGTTTATGATAAACATGTACACACTGCTCTATTTAAAATGGATAACCAACAAGGACCTACTGTATAGTACAGGGAACTCTGCTCAATACCCTGTGATAACCTACATGGGAAAAGTATTTGATAAAGAATAGATACATGTATCTATATATAACAGAATCACTTTGCTGTATACCTGAAACTAACATCAACTACACTCCAATATAAAATAATTTTTTAAAAGAGATATCTTAATTGTGCCTTCAAACACCACCTAAAACTGCCTTTAGTAATTTATAAGTTTTCAGTATGGCATGCTGGGTCAATAAACAAGTAACTTAACTTTTGATTTCCTCAATTTCCTCATCTCTAAAGAAGAATATTATCATCTACCTCACAGGTCAGCTTAATGATAAACTCGTAGTCTACATAAAACAATAGCAGAGTGTTTTGCACTTTGCACAATTTACCATTTAAAATGATACACAATGTTTGCTGGGCTCTTTTAATAACAAAAATATCATACTTCACTTTTGTGGGCAGTGTTTTAACCCATGGTTTACTTTTATTTCATGACCACTTATAGAAGAGAAAACTGTAGCAACTTAGTTGCATACTATTTTTTCCTACACCCTAACTTAAGGAAAAATAACTAGCAGTAATTAGGAATGATACCTGGTATCCCTTTCAGTAGAAAAATGACCAAAATGGCATTATTCCACAAGGGTACAGAAACGTCTAGGCTTTTGTCTTTCTTAAGATTATGAACAAGTTAAAGGGCAAATTTTTTATCCTCTAAATCTATACTCTATCTTTCTCCAGAAAACTCTTGTTTTCTTGAATTTTAGATTCAAATAATTCTTTGCAAGTCTACACATAGCTGGCCAAAATGCAAAGTTTGAGGCCACAGTACTAAAATTGCTCTCAAATCTGACACCAAGTACAGGTTTGGAGGTTTTCCAAAACCATGCTCATGTTCAATAATTCACAAAAAAGACACGCAGAACTCACTCAATGCCATTATATGCATGACTACAGTTTATTACAGGGAAAGGAAATAAATAAAGGTAAACCTCAGGGAGAGATGAACAGGACAATCTGAAAGTGTTCCAAACCTGAAGCTTCTGTTGTCCTTAGGCAGCATTACTTTCCCAAACTGATATGTGGTGATGTGCCAAGAGTATTGCAAACTGAGGATGTTCACCTGAGTCTCTATTTCCAGAGTTTTTATTGGAGATTGACCATGTACACATAATTGATTAATTGCTTGATTGCCCACATCACTGAACTCAGTCTCTGAGTTCTGATCCTGCATGACCCAAGGCTCCCATTGAAAATCACTTGCTGGTCTTTCTGACATGGCCAGCCCCTACTCGGTGTTTCTTGGCTGTGGTCAGTCCTCACCCAAACAAAGACACTTGGCTCATGTATGGCACAGATCATCCCTTAGAAGCCAAGGCCAACTTTTCTACTACAGAGTGTCACCAGTAGGAGATGGCTGATTGCCTGTGCATATGTCAGCTTCTTCTCTTTGAAAACAAACAAACAAAAAACTGTGTTTTACATTTAAAATCCCCAAGAGAGAAGACTGGTTGTTTGGTTTGTCACTATCATGTAGGTTGTGTGGAAATTTCAGCTAAATCACTTCACCAAAAAACATCTAGTTCACAATCAATGTGAACTACTATGATTTTATTAAAATAATTATTGCACATAGGTAGAATGCACATTCATTTATTTGCCTAAAGTTAATAAAATAAAATATTGAGATATAAAGTAGAAGAAAGAGGAAACAGTGATTTTAAGAGTATGACCATCAATTTTACTCCATGTCTATACCTTGACTTTTTGGTCCAAATCATGGTTTGTCCATATTTAATGATTTTCAATGAATGGGAAAATACAGTTTTCATCAATAATTCACTTTCATGTCTAACTTCTCTTTGAACCACAAAGAGTTTTCTTATGCTTGATTCAAATTACTCTTGCTCAAATTTAAATGAATTTTCTTTGTTCTGTTTTTAGCAGTCAGATCAAGCAGTACATGGGAGAATGAAGGCAACACAAAGCATTACTACTAACCATTTCTCAAATATGTCAAAGACACTTAAATTCTAATTCTTTCCCCCTAGATTTTAGCTATTCCTCTCACCATGGGTCATAGCAAATCTAATAAGAGATACAGGATGCAGAAAACTCTCAAAACTATTTAAAAACATGCTCTTTAGTGAAATTACAAAAAATAAGTTGCTTAAAACTGTATTTTTAAAGTTGCTCATTGCATAACATAATTATCTCCATACCTCACAATGGGACATGAAACTAACTATAAGGTTATATCTTTGGCATCCTTAGTTTCTAGATTTCAGAAATGTTATGACTATGTTGCTAAGCAATGTGCAAATCGATGGCTTCTTGGGCTTGTGTATCCTTTGGAAGAAGCTATATTTAACAGTTTGTTTACAATGTATTTTCCTAGATGCAAAATATCTATAGCACTGCTAGAACACCTGTCTTTAGGGTCATCTAATTAAACTCATTGGAAACATATCTTAGAGATGTTTATTTTCTAACTACATTATGTGAAATATAATGTCAGCATGTATATGTGTATATGTATATAAAATACTATTTTTTACTTCTACATTTATACTAGAGATAAATTTCTAAATTGTCTAGATGTCAAATTCCAAGTGATGTGTAGGAAGAACAGTTGATTCTTGTTACCTAACATAGGAGTTCTATTTAACCATTGCTATAATGGTCATATAACCTTTTCAGCAACTCTGTTAAAGCCTTTCTTCTGCACAGTCAGGGTAACTTATCAAACATGGCAGTATGATCTAGGTGGATAAACTTCTCAGTATGCCCTAAAATTTCAGAGGTGCTCAAGAATCAAAATAACTCTTGTTAAATCCTAGAACTAAATCTTATAGAAATTCATAACTGAGGATCACTAGTACATTTTACCTGCCTATTATTTTATGCATTCATGAATTCAAAAAAGATCAGTGAATGCTAACTCCATGTTAGACTGAGTAACATAAAGACAGACCCCAGGTAACATTCTTCTTCAAGACACTTACATTAGGCTTGTGTGGATGTATAAGGTAATAGGGGCAGAAGGCACCATCATTTATAGAAATATGATTGAGGTATTAGAGTATGAAGAAAATCCTAACATTTAAGAGATGGGAAATGAGAAAGGACACAGAAGAATAAAAAGCTACTGAACATAGATAGACACAGAGGTATAAAGTGCTTCGAGTAACACAGATATTACAGTGTGGCTGGAGAATAAGAAAGAGCGGAGCAGGCAGAGGAAAAGCCTTGAAAGACAGGCCAAAGGCAATGAGAAAAGCTTTGAGCTGGTTACAACTGAAAACAATAGTATTGAGCTTAGAACAGTTACATTATTAGTAGTAAAGTGATGAACTGGGAGACAGAGGTGGTTA